CAAATCATTATGTTAAACTTAAATATCGACCCAGAATTTCACAATCAGTGCAACCCTACTTTAAATGGCTGTTAAAGTACACCGCTAAATTCAATTACTTTTTACTGCTGCCAAGACATTTATCTATAACTAATCCTCAAACGGACAAAGTGCTTTCATGTCTTGGTAATTAAATCTGCATTTCATTCAGTTATTGCCACATCAGTTTTTGTAAACAATATGTCCCGCAGACGAAGCCAGATGTCTTTCACTGCCTGAGTTGTTTTTCCAGTTTTGCGTGGCCAAAGTGGCAGATAGTTATTAAATAACATGCAGTAATGAACCTCTTAGTTTGTTTATGTGATTATGGCATTGCATGTGAACATACTTCCCATTCAAGTACAGTGGTTATATTGCATTTATATGTATATATCCTTCTCCTCTGCAGCTCATGGTGTCAGTATTCGGTGATTTAAATTAAGATTAGATATAAGTTGTGATTTGATTTGTAAGATTTTGTATTAACCCAATCAAAATATTACAGCTTTGTTACAACAATGCCAGAAACCTGACCCCAGTGACCTTAAAATGAATAACCATTAATCATTGATAGTTAAGTACTGTTAACTAGCAACAGGCCTCTGGGTGTGAAAAAGGAAGAGACAAATTTGACAGAGAGAGGCAGTCAATTGATTTGGACTTTGATGTTAAAACTCCAAATGTCCAACTCCATCCTAAAATTGACAGACTAAAAAAACTGTTTTTGTGTCTATAGTTGATTTGTTGCACCGTAAAAGGAAGCGGTGCATTTTTTTTTTAAACTCATCCATCTCTCCAACAAGACTACTCGAGCATTATTGGCAGTGACCAAAATGCTAAAGTCGATGCTTCAAAAGTCAGAGCTGAGGAACAAATGGGTGATGTCATGGTGGTTTAATATACAGCCTGTGACTAACACTCACCATTACTTTGACAGTAAAAAGAAAAACCACTTCCCAATTGATGACTATTGACACATTAGGTACAGCTAAAATAAACAAAATAAAATACATATTGTACTTTTTAATGCTTTCTTTCTGGCGGCAGTGTAAGGCCAAGAGATTTCACATCTGTTAAAAATGATTTTAAAGATTGGATGACGTGACGCTGCGGTTGGGATACTGCGGTGGGTACTATTATCTCTCCATATCTCCAAATTTGGAAACTTATTTGAGAGCATTGGGTTAGCATACATTTGCTTGCCAATTAGCTCTGAGCACAACTGTAGCTAATGTTAGGAATGATAAATGGTAAATGGCCTGCATTTGTATAGCGCTTTACTCAGTCCCTAAGGACCCCAAAGCGCTTTACACTACATTCAGTCATTCACCCATTCACACACACATTCACACACTGGCAATGGCAAGCTACATTGTAGCCACAGCTGCCCTGGGGCGCACTGACTTTAGTTCCTTATTTTAAATGACATTGATACATATTTACCAAGGCGATACTTAAAAACTACTGCAACTCATGGAGACTGCCTGTAAACTTTCCAATCTGACCAGTATATAGAAATACTGATAACAAACGATAAGGCTCTTTGACAAAGTTTACTATGACTCCTTATACTTAGAATAAGTGCTACTATTTATTTATTTTTTGCTACTTCTATGGGGTCAACAAGATTAATTGCAATTGTAGAATAATGCTGTGTGCTAAATTGGCAGTGCTACTAAAATGTTCAGAATTTGCAGTGCCTCAAATCAGCACGAAAATGCACCTGCTGCTGGCAGTGACATTAACTCGGCTGTAGTGGAGTCACGCACCTGACAGGATGGTGTGCTTAGCTGAAACTGGCTGTTTAGTTTCAGTTAAAGCAAAACAGTTTTTAAAAAAATGACTAAAAACTTTACGTACTTTTGATAATAAATATTATTAATAAATATTTTTGACATAAATTTGATGTGAGATTGTAGAGAGTTGAAGATATGCAGGAATGATGTAAAAAGGTACAAATTGAACCTTCATCTTTAGTTCTTCTTGGAAACACGTCTGCATTATATCTTATTAAAATTTCACTGAGAATGTAACGTCACTGCGTGACTGGCTGGATCTGATTTAAGAGGTTTTTCCATTAATCTAAATCTCTGGTTATCCAGTAAGATTAATAAGATGTATTTAAGCCATGATCTTGAATATCCAGGAACTGATATGCATTTCGTAGCAATGATTTCATGCTCTGTTGCCTCATATATCAATATCTAGTTCTGCCACTCCTTTAATTTATGATCACTGAAAACGTCAACTGTGACAGTTGAATTTCAACTATAATTTGTTACTTCTTTATCTATTTAACTGCTCAATGTCTTATTTTTGTCTTCCAGTACATGACTTTTGAGGTTGGGTATAGGTGTGTGCTCACTGAATGCATCACAGGGTGTGTCATGTTGGAGCCTCTGGTTTTTCATCTTTAAATGAGCCTCGGTTACTAAGTGATAAAGACATTAGGTCACACACAGGCCTTGTGCACACAGTGTAATCAAATCAAGCTCAGGATCTGATATTAGTCTTGATTTTTTCACCACTGGAGAAAACTATTTGTGTAAGGCATCCACCCATCTGACTCCTGGCAGTAGAATATCTATCCTCTCTGGCTGTTGAAAAAACATGCTTTGAATGTAATCACTCATTATCAAAGACGGCCTACTGTTTGTACTGTTCCTAAAGAATGGGAACAGGCTAAATAAGAACAGGCGTCAGAACAGCACAGTGAACAAAGGCAGCTTGTTTACAGTAGTTCTTATCAACAAATTCAGTATTTTTTTCAACTGTTCTATGTGCTGTGTTTTAGATTCTTATTTAAGTCATGACCTCGTGTGATTACAGCTTAAAGTCCTTGTCCATCAAAGTAACAGGGTCAACTGTTGCTGTGGTGGACAGTCCTGTCAACTTTACTGTTTAGGTTGGCTCTCATTGTGTGATTTTCAGCAGGATAATTCTGCAAATTTCAGTTAAAAAAAAGATCTCTGTACAAGTCTGAGATGGTTTTGACATATGCAGAGGAGGGGTAGTGGATATGTTGTAAAGATGTTTAGCATGGAGCTACCAGGCAGGAGGAAAAGAGGAAGACAACAGATGAGATTTATGGATGTAGTGAAGAAGGACAAGCAGAAGGCTGGTATGACAGAAGAGGATGCTAGGGATGGGGTTTGGTTGAGATGGAGGTAGATGATGTGCTATTGGAGCAGCAACTAGCTGGTGAAAGTAGTGGAGTATTTACGACGTAAAGAAGGACATGTCCCCCAAGAAATGCTAGAAAGAAAAAACACACACACTTTAGTCAGTAGACATACCTGTTGGACAAAAACACAACGTCAAATTTTATTTGTGACTGAATACTCTTGAACATTCATTTATATATTGTTGATAAAATTGTACATAAGTAACACATTTTTGTTTTAAAACCTCATCAACTATTTTACTGAAAGGTGATGCAATTTGGTGTTTTCAGCATACTTGCCTAGACGCCACAGCAGCAGAAGTCCTTTCATTTTTAAAGGGCATCTGGACTTGAAAAGCATTGATAACATTTTCAATGTCAATTTAATTCAGTCCACGAGTAAACAACTACCCGCCCCACTACAGGTGGGATTGATTTAAATAGGAGAGTGTCTTTTCTTAAAATCTGGACTAAACACTTATGCCTGAATTATACCTGAATCTATGTCGTAACTTGGGGCATAACCGATAACCCCTCTTAAGCTTACACCACAACCTTCCACGCCATTCAGTCAGTGCGGACTTCATCGGTCCGACATGTAGTTACATTTCTTGGGAGGGGCACTTCAGGTTACAGGGAAGGTTATGGCAGATTTAAGAAGGCTTTTCGGTTGCATTGTAAGTTATGACGTAGATTTCCCACTAAAGAATAGTTGAGGCAGTATATGTCCTATACATGCCCTTTTTAAAAAAAATCATTTTACTGTGGCAAGCTTTGGACTTGAAGAGAAGGTAAAAATATGATTATTTTTGTGCTTTTGTGTTCATTCTAGGAGAAACAACTGAATCAAATCCAAGCAGTGCCCTCACAGACGGCGGCTTGACAACTGCTTCAGAAGTGACTAGAGCAACAGAAAGTACTACTCAAGGATTCACAACTGTGCACACAACTCTCACCAATGCAGAGACAATTAATCTGAGCACTCAGTCCACGATCACTACTAATACTACGGTTACTGAGAACGGTACTGTGACCACTGGCAGCCCAGCTCCCTCTCCATCACCTCCAACCACTGACGCAAGCATGTCGACTGCAA